TATCAGCGATATTGCTAATAAATGTTTTGGGGTTGAGAAATCTGAGCAATCTCTTCGCTACAGAACGGTTTCATAAAACCCCTCTCGAGCAACCGCCTGCTCTGCTATTGTTTCTCTGCCATCCGTCATGGCCACGTCCTGGGCCACAGCCTGGTGCCGCATTCATCTTCGCTCCATGGCACAATCCTTTTTTGCACAACACTGAATCACTTTGTTTTCCGATTCAAGAGCGAGGCAGGAAGGGACAGATTGTAATTTTATGGAAAAAAGCACTTGTCGGAACTGGTGTGGCAACTTGAAGAAACTGCTTGGATTAGTGGCTGGGCTACTACGGCGGCGTAGTTAACATCATGACTCTTTCACCAATCCCTGCAATACTGTCCTAAAATACTGTAATTTCCCTAGCTGAAGAATCCTTTTTTCTTTTTGGTTGCACCTTATATCTGTTTTTTCTGCCCTGTGTTGAGTGTTTCCAACTTTTTGCCCTGGAGAAGTGCTTTTGGGGAACTAGTTGTGCATTTGGAGGAGCGCACAGTGCATTTAGCTGTCTTATCTGGAGGGAAATGAGTGGCTCCTATAAGCGTCTCGCTTTATTTTCAGATTTTGAAAGATCAGAGGGACCAGTCAGTGCGTTGTTTCCAGGCTTTTATGTCTTGTTGTTTCTGCCAGAGCTAAAATAATGAATTGGGAAGCGAGTGTGAGAATGGTATTGAAGTCCTAGGGCAGTTTCATCCATCAGCTTTAGAAATTTGTACAAAAGCATAACAGGAAACACAGTATAAGTCAATGCTGAGATCTGATGGCAGCTTTAGCAGTTCTCCTGCTGGGCCTGTTTCCCGATGCTGGGGTGGTTCTTGTTTTCGGGTTTGTATGATGCCTGCTAAGGTGCCGGTGGTTCCCTGGGCTGGCAGCCAATGTTGAGCACTGCTGGCTGTGGATGAACTGTCCTACTGCCATCTCATCTCTAGGGTCTAGATACCTAACCTTTTTGCAAACTAAAGCTTAAACCATTTTTTTCAGCATATATGGATGAGCTGCTGTCAGTATTTTTGGCTGTGTTTGTTGCCTTGGTCTGATTCCTTCTCCTCTTTATGCAAACACCTCTGTTGAATGAAGCACGTCCCCATTGGCAGCCAGCCTTGAGGTGCTCCGTCTGTGTCACCGTTACATCCTGAGCTTAGGAGGAATTTTAAATCAACTCTTGCAGCTGCGTTGGCATTTCATGACCATCTACTAATTTGGAGTGTTTATAAGAGACATTCTTTATGTCAGCTTTATCACTGGAGTGAGCAAGGGGTGAATTGGCAGGCTGCAGGATAAAGCCAGTGTGACCAGCAAGGAATTGGAACCTGGTTGTAGACTAGTTGAGACACTGCTACATTCACTAGCCTAGTACTCTAAGATGCTTCAATTTCTAAATAATTTTTAAAAGTTGCCCTTTGGTATCACATTCAAGTGCAGAACTTCAGCTCTTGAATTTGACCCTGGAATAAAAACTGCTCCATAAAGACAATTGGCCAAGGTTGGGCTCGAAGCTCCTTGGTGGCCACCTGAAGTGTTCATTAGATGCAGCTTGCAGATTTTGGCTAGGATTTCTCATGGAAGGACCCCTAACCAGGATGATGATGGCGTTGGGTGGGAGGAAGGCCGGCTGGCGACGGACTCCTGCGGGGAAACGCCTGGGGGTGAGGTGCGGGCTGTACTAAGTGGTGCAAAGCTGCAGAACATCACTGAGGAGCAACTCCAGACCTGCGGACACGCAGTGGAAACGCGGTGTGTCCTCCAGGCCACCTGTGCCAGGGACGTGTCCAACACCAAAGGACGCTGCCTCTCCGCCCACCAAACGTGGGGCCTGGATTGCAGTTGTTGGATGCTCCCCGGAGCCGAGACGCTGGCAGGGCTTGATTAATGCGACTGATAGGAATAAAACCAATGGATTTTTTTTTTCAGATTGTATGGTACACTCATAAATATTAATGCACTTCTGTATTGAATTGTACATAATTACATATTTATACATTTAAGTCACCTTCCTGATACACTTAAGCCACTTTACTGATGAAAGATATCTCTGGATAAGATGGTTTTAAACCATGCCTAATATGTTTGTATGATTTATTTAATAATGTGTGGGTTTGTACACTGGCAGGAGAGGAGAAAAAGCAACATTAAAGTCAGAATATATTGTACCCAGGATCTGCGACTTAGTTTGAATCAACTCCTTGGGTAGTGGCTGAAAAATAGAGCTTGACATGAAATATGGCTACATCTCCTTATCTACTGATATAAGGTCTGTGCGGTCCTGTCACCTTAGAGTAATTACAGCTTATTACTTTAATCAGGGCGATGCTTAAGTCTGCAATTAAGATTACACTCGCTAATGTGCCCAGGCATGCCATGGTCCTGGCTAAACAACGGAAAGGTGAAAACCACATGAGGGAGCGCGTGCCAGGAGCGGGAAGTGATTCATCCGTGCCCTGAAGCAGGCACTGGCACTGGAATGCAGCTCCTGTGGGCCCCAAGGTGCTCGGGATGCTGCTGAGCTTCCTGCCTCCCTGGCCTGGGGGCTGGTGGGCTTTGTTCCTCCTTGGTTTAACGTGTCCTGTCGGCACCTGTCTAAGTTCTCATCATTCAGCGTGTTCTGTTGAAGTCCATCCTGCAGATGAAGAACCGAGGGGTTTTTTGATTTGTTTTTTTAAGGCCAAGTAGTGTATCTTTTGAGAGCCATGAGAGGTTCTACCTTGCAGTGCAGTGACACGAGGGTTTGGCCCTCAGCGCTCCATAATTTTCTCTGCAGAGACGTGAGCTACTGAAAAGCAGCTGGCTGGTGCAGAGGGACTTGGTTGTCCAAACACAGATCCTTTATGGAAATGTCATGGTAAAACAATCCTTGCATTGCCTGCAAGGCCGGCTTTTATGGCTTGCGGGATGACAAGGTATATGCATCCGGACTTCCCTTTGGCTATGAGTAGAAGGAACGTATTTTGGAAGAATTTTGCAAATTACTACTTCCAGCCTGGAAGATGGATTCCTTTTTTTGTAGAGTTTTCCAAAACTGGTGTGAAGCTGGAGTCATTCATCTTGCCTGTGGATTTATGTGAAGGTCCATTCGTCCCAAGTTCTTAAACTGGCCATACTTTTCTTGAAGTGCACCTGAAAATTCATGAAACTTAATGAAATGGTTACTGTTGACTCAAATGGGGGCGTCTTATGGAGAAGGTCCCCCCAGATGTGTCTGCAGTAATCTGCAAAATGTTGACCTGTCTTCATCTCTCTTTAAAGCTAATGGAAGCCAGTAATTTCTTGATGGCAGTGTTAGCCCCATTAGGTGTTTTATTGGCTTCTGGAGTCCTGCCACTGTTTCATTTAGATCCTGAGACGGGGCGGGGGACGGGAGGGGGGAAGGAAAAAAAAATCCCATTAAGCTGTTTAGTCATTAGGAGAGTATTTTTCTCCCAGAAAGGGTGAGTTTGGGGTGAGTTGTACTCACCTTAAGTTGTACTTAAGGGTTTTAAAGATCTTTTATGAATTTTTGATAGGGCACCTAACTTTTCTGTTATGAATAGCACTGGGTAAAGAAAAACTTAGGATGTGTCCCATGTTGTCTTGCCGAAGGCAGGTTTAAAAAAATAAAAAAGAAGCTTATGGCTTCTGTCTCTTGCTCTCTTTAATGCTTGTGAAATTATTCTTTTCTATCCAATATCAAGTTTGAACCTGGATTGTTTTCAGTATAATTAATATTCTGCCTGATTCTAATGATGACTTCTGTGAGGATCTTGCGTTTCAGATGGGCACTCAGTGAGGACTCTTTAATTAAAATCCAAACAGATTTATCTTTTCTTGAGCATGTTTTGAAGCAAAATGGGCACAGTTAGGATGTTATTCTCCTGAGCCTGAATATTTGTGACAAAGGGACAGATAGACCAATTTCTTCCTCGCAAACTGTCATGTTGTCAGTTGTAATAATAAGGTATGTGAAATAGAAGTGCGGAGGCTTACAGGATCGTGTAGAACTTCATATGGTAGGGCATGGACAGCCTTTTTTGTGGGACCTGAAGGTCAAGGCAACCAGACATGAATAGGCTATGCTTAAAGTATAATGTTCTTTTAAGTAACAGGCACATTAGATGGAAATACCCGTACTTGTGCACTTGAAGTTCTTTCTTTGAGTAGATGTGATTTGAAATGACTGCAGATTTCTTGAATATGTAACAAGCATTGCAACTCGCACCTCTCCAGTGGATTCTGCTTCTTCTCTCCCAATAACTCTGCATCTGCCAATTCCTTCTGCTTCCTCTGCCTTTGATGTTATGTTATTGGAGTAATTACATTCTAGTTACACTTTTTAAAAACAAATGCACAGGTTCTGCTTGTTTCAGCAAATAAACTAATTATAGCCTAAGCTACAGAATTTGCATGTTTGTGACTGGACTTGCATATAGATGAACATTGATTCTAGAGTTTAAAGAAGGGTCAGTAATAAAGTTTTTGAAAACAAGCATGACTCTCACCCCCTGAGATTTGGAAATGTTCTGCTTAGGGCAGGCTTGAAGAAAAAACAGGGAAGTCAATTGAGATACATTGGCTTTAATTGGCTTTAGGTCAGCTCTTGCCTTGTCTTGTTAAATATAAGAAATAAGTTAAAATAAATGTCGAAGGCCAAGACTTGCTGAAATCGAAGATGACTCTTAATTTAAACATTATGAACATACGCTGTGTTTTAAGCACGTACTCGGTTGATACATGAGGTGTGCTTGGAAACAGTCAGGCTGATGGTATGAAAGGCACAGGGGTGTATGTGGCTGTGTGTGCATGCACTCACTTAATCTTACTAATTATATTTGCCCGTCTCTTCCTTAACTGGCTGGCTGCAAAGATGCTTTTCTCCTTTTCTGGTGAAAAGGAGAGCCCCTGGAAATTGTTTCCTAAAATTATTCTTGAAAATAGTTTTTTTTTAAAAAAAATCGGTATTTTAACGGTTGCATTTTCCTTCTTCTTCCCTTGCCCTCTGCCTGTCCCTGCAGAAGGATGTCGCGCTGAAACCTCAGGAGCGTGTGGAGAAGCGGCAGAACCCGCTGGCCAAGAAGAAGCGGGAGGCACTTACCAACGGGCTCTCCTACCTTCCCAAAAAGAACAGACTTCCCCACCATCAGTACAGCTCTGACCGCGAGAATGACCGTAACCTGTGCCAGCACCTGGGGAAAAGGAAGAAGTTCCCAAAGGGCCTCAGACAGGTGGGGGACGAGCCGCGTGTTGCGGACGGGAGGCCTTGGCGCGTGCTTTGCTGAAGCGGACTTCCCAGCTGCTGGGGTCGCTTGTGTATTTGGGCAGTCGGGTCCCATTTCATGCCCTCTCCTGGGGTGAGGAGAGATGATGTGAGCACTTGAGAAGGATGAGAGAGCAGCGTGTTGGCGGCAGGTCCAGGCTGGCAGAGGCGCGTGCCGAGGCCGGGAGCGAGGCTGCGTGGCACGCGGCCAAGCCGGGCTCTCAACTCAAGGGCCGGGTGAGGTGGTTGCAGGAGGAACAGCTGCCGAGATGGATCTTGCTCTCCTGAGACTGATGATAAGGAGTTGTTTTGTAGGGTGCTGTTGGTGGTCTAAGCTTGTGCTCTTCTGGTTTACTGAGCACCTACCCATAAGCAGGAGCCCTCTGCTTCCCTCCAGGTCTTGGGGAGGGAGCTGGGGTGCGTGTGGCGGGGGAATGAGCGCAGAGCATCCAAGATTGTCACGACGGAGGCTAGAGGTTTGGTCTGTGAGTCAAGACTGTGCAGTGTGGTGTGTTTCTGGTGTCTTAAAAAAGAAGAAAAAGCATAGCAAGTGTGATTTCTCTGCTGTGCATAATGCAGGGAAAAAAATTCTGCTTTTATGGTGAATAAATATCTATATTCTCTCTGTGTTTGCTTGTTGTATGCAAAAGGCCAATGGTTTGGGTGTTTGGAAGTTTGTATGTTTTAAGTGTAACATCTTCCTGTGTGTTCATTTGTCTCATGGGCTACAAAACCATCATCCAAAGTAATGGTGAAGAGGACAGATGTGACCTAAGTTTGAGTATAATTAATGACTCTTTGCTCAAGTTTTAAAACTCTAATGGAAATAACTAATGTTTATTGAATAAGTGTCTGTCTCTGGTGCAACCCAACATTGTTTTGTAGAGAAATAGGTTTTTGAAGACTGAAATTTTGGGGGCTTTTCACAGCATGATCTCAGGCACTTGGGAGGAATATCAAGGCTAACAAGTACACCACTTCTTTTTCGATCCTGATAATCAAAGTTATAGAAGCTGATAAAAAATGAGTTTCCACTAGTATTTACAAGCTCGGATTGGAAGTAGAACTAGAATAAGAACTCAGAGAGCACTTCATCAATGTAAAAAAGCGCCTGTTCTATCCTGCCATACCTATTGTGCTGTTATCTCTTCTAATTTAATCTTATTTTTACTTTGGGGAGGGAGACTTTACTTTCAAAGGGAGATGGACAAACTCTTTGAGGTCTTTGGTGCAATAATTGTGTGATGCGAAGGAATTGAAGGTTGCTGTGTTCCCTTGACCATTGTCTGTGTTCACAAACTCATTCTTTACTTGATTCCTTTTTAGGATGTCAAATGGTAAATGTATCT